GACTGCAGACCTGTCCTGTTTTTCGCCCCCCAAAGCCGACTGGGACACGCTCCAGCGCTCCGGCAGCCTTCCACAGGACAGAGCGGTCTGTAGATAATAGATTGGAATTTGTCTATTTTTCTTTGCGGTTTTGGTTTCTTGCTGTGACACACTTTCCTCGGAACAACAAACGAGGCACTTTGCAAACATTTCAGTGTCTCGGTGAGTCATTATATCAACACAATTTTGGTGGCAATCTGTGCGGCAGCGCGGCCCAGCTGATCTCCCATCTCCTTTGGTATATTGCAGCAATAAGAACGGCGTATTGTCCTGGCACATGAATAGGGGCTGTTAGGAGAAGAAAAGGCCAGTGTTGAGCCAAACACCAGAGATATTCCCAGAATGCGCTCTGTCCGCCGGTCCCCACACGCGCACATTGTTCCATTTGTCCACTAACACACCCAGTGAGTACAGATTAAGACGGGAAGACAAACACTACAGTAAACCTTTTAACCACATGTCGCTCTGAGTCGTGATCAAGCGCTCCTGATCAATCACGAGGTCGTTCAGGTGTTTCCCCAGACAGATTAGGAAACAGAGCAGATTATGTCATGTGTCTGGGCCTCAGAGAAGATGCTGCAGGTCTTGATTAAACACCCCCTCCGGTATCGGGGGTTTATCAGAGCTGCGAAGGAGCCCTTTCGCAGCAGGAGCAGCATGTGATGGTGGGTATAATTGTTCACCAGACTGTGCTGCGCTCCGCTGATGTGGCCAAGGAAGCGTAGTGGAAAAGTGCTGCAGGTTTACTGAGCATTCTGCCCAAGATGATGATGATGATGATGATGATGATGGTGGTGGTGGTGGTGGATAATAGACGGCTGAGAGGACGGACTGTAATCTGTCAGGAGAGGAGAGTGTGGATGGTGGTACTGAAAGGACAGCTCTTTGCATCCAGAAACATCCGAGCACTGAGTTGAAGATGCTTTAACTGTTCCTCTGCCAATCTGTTGTGTCACACTGAATAAGGACCTCCTTTCTCCAGCGTGAAAGGCTAATTCTGCCTGCTGAGCTCAGCATTACATTCAGAAGAGACTGCACATTGCAAAACTTTACCATTTTGGATGGTTTGGATCAGCCATCATCACAGGTTCAGGTGCCTTGTATTTAAAGGTGAAACAAAGCTGATAAATTCCATAAAAAATGAACACTCCAGGACTTTCTAAGTTCCTCCTGAAGACATAAACCTTAAAAAAAAAGGCTCAAATACAGATAGGAGTGAATTTAGGGGCTATTTCTAGCTGCAGATTATTGCACATTCGGTACACTACTGATTATTTACAGCAGTGGGATGGTGAATATGGGAGTTAAATCAGGCTTGGTGCCATAGAAACAACTTGTCGGATCAGTTTATTGTTGGTTTGGATATTTTAAAGAGGTTTGTTGACAGTAAGAACAACACTGAATGGTTTTGGTGCTCAGACTCAATAGCAACAATGACAATTACAGATATGAATATGTCAAGTGAGAAACTTTGCCAATAGCAGCAGCTGTCACAGCTATCTGATGGGAAACATGTTTCTGATTGTGTCATTTCAACTGCCAGTTTCATCTTGACCCCTCAGGCTTATTGTATACGTTCATGGAGCTAACTAAACGGAGGCTGGTCAAGAAAAACTCAATATTTGCTGAATAAAATTTGTGCTTTGAGCTGAAATCATGTGGCGTGAAACATAAGTGTAGTGTTGTAGTTACTCTGGTTATTACGTATGAAACCCTCACAGTGACTTCACAATGAGACCTTACAGTGCCCACACACACACACACACACACACACACACACACACACACACACACACACACACACACACTCATTGAATGCTAGTGGCTGGCACTGCCAACCAGTGGAAAGAGAGGGCCCAGTGGGTGAGCCAACCCACCCCGATCTTTCTCCCGCCCTCCCCCTTAGCCTCGACTTCACCCTAAAGGCCCTCGGACACCCTTGTGGATTGTCACTGCCTGAAACTAGTCAGAATGGTGTCATTTAGCCTAAACCTCCCCCTCACAACCTCAGAAGAAAAGAGGGATGCCCAGAGTGAATGAAAAACAACAACCAGCAAAAAAAAAAAAAGAAAATCAAACCTCTCTCTGTTGAGGACCATTCAGACGCTCCATCAAAAGGAGCTCTGGAGCCATAAATCAGACTTCAAAGATCGCTCCATCCTCTTCCCTCCATCTTAAGTCCCTTTAGATCAGCTTTTGAAATGCTGCTTCGCTGCTGCAGCATGAATGATGGTGTGTGTGTGTATTCCTGTCGCAATGACAAATGATGACTTTGCCTTCCTGTCAGGCTGTTGCTCTGCAGCTCTTTTTGAGAAGATTTTGCTTTTCTTGAGCTGATAGTCTCATACGTTCTAATCTATTGTACTCTGTTCTCGACAAAGGTTTCCATACACTTTTAAATACCGTGTGTTTCATGGCAGTCTTGAGTTTTCAAAGACTTCTGTAACTCTGAATTTGGTTCTTCAATAGAGTTACTGTAGATCTTCTGGAAATGTGACAAAAATCTGCAGGGTCATAAATATACATACGGCAATGCTAATAATTGGTTAAATGTCAGCTAGGCACTTTGGTGGCCATCCACAAGCTTCTGGTTGTATCTTTGACTGCTTCTCTTAACAGAATTGGCAGGTAAACTAAATGTGTTGGTTTTTCTTACAGCCAATGGACCAGCTTAAAAATGTAATTCTAGCCTGATTTAACCATTTTTTACCACTTTTTGATGCATGTTTGGGGTCATTGGCTGGTTGAAACACCCAACTGCATCCAAGATCCAACTTTCTGGCTGATGATTTTAGGTTTTCCTGAAGAATGTGGAGGTAATCCTCCTTCTTCATTGTTCAGTTTACTTTGTTTAATAAAGCACTAGTTCCACTGGCAGCAGATCATGATGCTGCCACCACCATGCTTTACAGTACAGTTGGTGTTTTTGTAGTTAGGGGCATCACTTTCTCTCCTCCAAACATATTTCTGGTCATTGTGGCTAAATGTAGGTACATTTTTGTTTCATCAGATCACAAAACTTTCCTCCAGAAGGTCTTTTCTTTGTCAGTGTGATCAGCAGCAAACTTCAGTCAAGCTTAAAGGTGCTGCTTCTAGAGGACATGTGGCAGCTTCTTTGCTCATGATAATGTAAAACCCACACTGACAGCTGTGTTCCAGCAGCTTTTAGTTCTTGCAGACATGCTTTTTGTGATTTTGTTTGACTCTGGACCCTCGTGCCCATTTGTCTCTCAGCAGCAGGTGACATGTTTTCTTCATGATCGTGGTGGTGACATGACTGTACCAGGCACTTTATACTTACAAACAGATGATTTGAGATCTGTAGCTGCTTTGAAATGGCTCCAAGTGACTTTCCTGACTTGCTCACGTCAATTATTTACCTTTTTAGATCTTTGCTGAGCTCCTCAGTCTTCCTCACTGTAATGTTTGTGGCTAAGTCTAATAAATGTGTCAAATGTTTTGCCTTAATCCTGTGATTTACTGTCTTACTCTTTATTAGAAGATAATGCCTGTGACCTTGGCTGTGGAGCCTGTTTGAAAAGCTCTCTTATTTATTGTAATCACCACATTTGTCACCTTTTGTCATGTATCAAAATCAGTCTATTAGAATTTATATGTTTTCTAGCACTGCTGGGATTTCAGCTTGTCGTAAATAAGACACACTCTGTCATTACTTTGACAGCGTTGTTAGCGTTGCTTTTGCGTTAGCACGTCTGTGAGCGGCCGTGGCCGAGGCAGTAACGTCTGATCGCTGTGGCGACAGCCCCGCGAAAACAATCTTGCTTTGTGACAAAGCCACACTAATCCCACTGTGTGAAACATGTAAAGCAGGACCTCCTACAGCCACTTTGTGCCAGAGAGAGAGTTTCATCTGTGTCTGTGCCACCTACAGTCATTGCGTGTGCGCTGATATTATGCACTTGCACATGTGTGTGTGTGTAGATATGTGTAAATGTGTTCCTCCCACTAAGCTATGTGTGTGCTGAGGGCCGTGTGGGCAGCGCATTAGATTTCTGAGACGGCAAAACCACAGTGGAATGATGTGGAGATGATTTGGGGGATCATTTAAGGTCCAGAGCTTGGCCAAGACGGTCACCTCTGGAAAATAAAAAGCGGGAATGACCCCGCTCCGATAAGTAGGTCAGAGCTTTCAGTCGTAAATTCATGTGGTCTCCCATCAATCCTGCATGTCATGTGTAGCTTCATTCCCATGTAATTATTACTTTTATGTCCAGAAATGTTTGTGTTTTGTTCCAAGCGATGGAGTGAAGGACCCTGTTTGTATTCTCATCTCCTCATCACTGTCCTTCCTCTCTTTCCCTTGGTTTCATATTTTCTGCTGTCCATCCAACATCCCGTACTCCCTCGCGGCCCCTGCCTACTCCTTTCCTCTTCTTTATCTAGTCCACATCCAGACATGCCGGGCCCTCATGGTGGTGTCGGTGCTGCTGGGCTTCATCGGCATCATCGTCAGCGTGGTGGGCATGAAGTGCACGAAGGTGGGAGACAACAACCCGGCCACCAAGACCCGCATCGCTGTGACCGGGGGAGCTCTCTTCCTGCTTGCAGGTGTGACTTCTGCTTGTGCTGCCTTCTGTTAATGTTTTGTTTAATTTGCAAAGCCAGATATGCAGTATCTCCTACAATCAGTGCATTTAGCAGGAGTGGCCAGGCATTTTTCTAGCCCAGATTTCTCATAAGGGGTCTTCTGGGTAATTAGAGTCCCTGCTGTAAACAGGAAGTGGTCATTTTGGAGGCATTAGTCACTGACCTCAGACATAAACCATAACCCCAGGCGTAAAGATTGCTAAACGAGGACCTGCGCAACTCATTTGTGTGTTGTTGTCTCTGTCGGGACAACTTGCAGGATTAATTAACACGGAGAACTAAAGCGCTTGTTTCGCCCTCCACAGGTCTGTGCACACTGGTGTCTGTGTCCTGGTATGCCACTCAGGTGTCCTATCAGTTCTTCAACCCAAACACGCCGCCCAACGCCAGGTATGAGGGTCACAGCAGGGAGCAAATATGAATGATGTGTGGGAAACAGTGTGCCACTAAAATTATGAAAACTGTGATTACTGTCATTATTATCAATCAGGGCCTTTCAGTTTGATCCGTTTCTGAGGCACAAAAACTGAATGAACACATAAACAACAACATGCCCAGTGTCCTGAACACCACGAGTGTCAGGCTGATTAAACAGATTATAAAGAGACATTATCAAGTTTCTCACAATGAGACGGCCGAGTGTTTTTGTAAGAGTGTTACATTTATTTGAATTGATGTTGAAAAGAAGATGTGAGAAAAGGAAAATGGCACAGAGACAAGATGTCTGTCTCCAGAATCTCAGTGTTCACATCACACCATTAAAACAGATAAAGAGCTGCTGCAGGAGTGTTAGGATTGTTTGTATTGCCACTCACTGTTTATGAACTGACAACCAGCCAGGGGGTGTTTAAGGAACATTTGCTTTACATTAAAATAATCTGATGCCAGAGACAACCGGCTGTAGTTACAACACTTTTCAGGCTTGTGATTTACACTCATTGATGCTGAAAGTTCCAGGGTCACTGTAATTTGGCCACTTTACTTTTATTGAACTGGAGCGACAGCCAAGAGACCCAATGTCCTGCAGCAAGATACTACAGTCGACTGTATTTCAAATTCTTGGTAGTAATAGCTCGTTATAATGGCAATAAATCTGTAATTATGGCTAATAAAATTTTTTCACACCAGCCGCTTACATTTCTTGTTATGGCTGATCTGTGATGCACGATATTAAAATTTCTAGCCGATACTGATATCCGATATCAAGATTTCTGACATCACCGATAACCGATGTTACTGATGTCGATATTCAATTTTTGTTGACACTGAAAAATGAGCAGAAGTTAGCACTGTGAGAACGTGAAAATTATTCAAAAGAAGCCCATACCAAATGAGACCACATAGTTTTCTTTATTATGTAACAAAATAAAACATATTTCAACATATTTTAACATATTTGACATCCAGGACCATTTAAGTGAAAACATCTGTGAAATAGCAGCAATATCAAATGTAGAGACGAAGGCGCTGATGTTAGACAAATAATCGGTTTTTCACACCAGCTAAATTTGTTCATCGGACCAATACCGATATATGGGGGAAAACACTAATATCGGCTGATACCGATGTGGTCGCCGATATATCGTGCATCTCTAGTTCCAACTTATAGCTAATTAAGATTAACTCATAATAGTTGCTAACAGTTCCTATCAGAGCTAATAAATAGCCAGTTTTAGTTGCTAATTATTTCACATAATGGCCAATAAAATGGCTAACATTAATGGCTAGCACTTACAAATTACGTCTGAGATGTGGACAGTTTCAGTTGCTGATTGTTTCAAATTATGACCACTAAGAATGCTATAATACAGTCAGTAAATGACTAGTTGTGGCTGACAAAAATGTCAAGCTTAAGTTTGTAGTAGTTCCAATTTATAGTTAATATAGCAAATAAAGCTAATAATAATTGCTAATAGTTTTTCATCATGGCTCATAAATAGCGCCAGCTTTAGTTACTAATGCTTCTAAATGATGGCTGATAAAAAAAAGAGCTAATGATGAGTTTCATTTGCTAATAGTTTCAAATTATGGCTGATAAAAATAGATAACACTATTTAGATATTATTTTATTAACATTAAATGTATTCATAAAATGTATTTATAATGTAAATATAAATGTATTTATTTTTTAATACATTTATATACTTAATTTACTAAATTTATTAGCATTAACACATTATTTTAAATATCTGATACTAAAAGTAAAGCAGCGTCTGCTACTATTCCTTATATGAAAGATAATGCTGTATATTAAAGCATCCCTCCTCTGAAAATGTAGTTTTTTAACTTTGCAAACGTGTTTTTCATTTTCTAGAAAACACATAATCAGAGAAATAAACAGTCCATGCCAGGACATTCCCATCCCTCGTCTCTGCAGCATACTAATGAAAACACACATTCAGACCTCCAGGGTTTCAAACATTATCAACCTAAAGGACCAATCCTGTCCTGTCAGCCTGCAGGATGGGACTTTCTGTATCATTATATTTTTTTGTCAGAGTTGGTTTCTGGAAGAATTATTCCAATATTGCAACTTGTTGCTTTATAGCTTTGAGTAGTTCTACAGTTTTTGAGCAGAGTTGTAGGAGAGCTGGTGTGCTTGAGCTGCAGTAAGTTCAGTGCTTTCTAGGGGAAGCAACGGTGTAGAGTTAGATCAGACATTTTACGGCTGGAGGGCAGTATTTTCCTGGAATAAACTTTTACTATGTAAGTTTTATACACAGACATGAGTTTTGATGAATTGAATCACTGGCTGGAGAGGGATGTAAAGTCATAGAGCAGAGATAATGAGTTCGTACCGAGTGTGTCCACCATGGCATTGTTCCACATATATGGGACAGAGGAGTTTAAAGTTTAAAGGCCTGACAAAGTATATGAGCATTTTCAAGGACAGGATCACATTGTTGGACATTCAGAGCTGTCTGGAGTCATTTCTTAGATGACAAATGCAGGACTTATAGACATCCAGGTGCTGCCTTTTTAACACGGCAGCATCCAGCAGGCCAACAGCCAGCACTCGTCTTTCTGTTGTCATTTGAATAAAGCTGCATTGTAAGGTGGCCTTTTATTCACACTGGTCAAAAGAGTGTATTTGATGATTGTCCTTTAAAGCCACACCTGACCAAGATGTTGAGAATTTGCTACCAGTTGGACAACTCAAGAACTGTTGAGTAAATTCCAGCAGAAGAAGAAAAACCATCTGCATGTATATTTTTTTGTTTAATGTTAATTTACTCTTTTTTTTTAACCTCCAGCTAGTTGGAGCCACCTGTAATTAATTCTTAAGTGATATTAAAACAGCAAAACCAAGAATCCAACACAACACCATCCCGGTGTTCCTTCCTGACCTGTTCCTCTATATTTCCTCGGCAGGTATGAGTTCGGCTCGGCCCTGTTCGTGGGCTGGGCGGCAGCCAGTCTGACGGTTCTGGGCGGCTCCTTGCTGTGCTGCTCCTGCTCCAAAGACGACATGCGAGGGCAACAATATTACCGCCAATCACAGCCTTCCACAGCCAGGGAGTACGTGTAAAAACCCCCCACCCCTCTTCCAGCAGTCACCCAAACAGAGAGCAGAGGACACGCTTTGGCACCACCACCCTTTTTTTCCCATGAAATCATGCCTGCTAAGTCCAAACAGAAAGACTACATGCACACAAACACACACATGCAATCATATAGCACTGGCATTTATATGCAGAGACACGCTATACATAGTGTTAGATCCACCAGTAGGATGTTTATCATCAGGCAGCCTACATATTTGATGTCAATCATCTAACTCACTTCACAATGTTATGCTTGTTTTATGACTAGAACTCTCTCGTGTGCCTTATTTAATGTACTTGAAGTTACCATAGAGACACAAAGAAGACAAACTAATGGCTTCTTGGTACAGAGGAACGACATTTAGGGTGAATTTAAAAAAGGCAAAATAAAAGTCACATCACGGCAGACACCCACCGATGACGTGGGCATGGAGCTAAAAAAATGGCGGCACTGCAAAACTTGCATGTCCTGTGCTTCCTGGTTGGAGCTGCGCTGGTGTTTTGCCTCCGTACCGGTCTGTATGTTCACACTCCACTGGTGCAGTTAGGTTGTGTGAAGGGAGAAGAAGTCATCCCTCATATCTGTTTTTTAAGTTATGAGTTTTATCATTTCCAATTGTTAGTTCCTAGAGGTTTAAAGCATTTGGATTTGATTTGAAAAGCCTTTCCCACAACTGCCACATCTGGCACAAAAGTTGTTAAATTTAAATACGATTCTGGGAAAACACCAGAATCAGTCTGTAGAATATCCTCTTGTAGCTCTCTGTCTTCTGGCAATAATGTTTAATCTAACGAAGGCTTCAGGCGGCCTCGCTTTAATAACTTCTTATGTACAGTCGTCCTCTTTAACAGAACAATCACTAGTTGAGAGATGCTCACGGAGACACAATCTGAACTGCAGGAGTGGAGGTGAACTGTTAGATGAAGGTGTCTGTTTAGCTCGTAATGAGTGTAAATGCTGCCGATCACCACTTCTCCCATTACACTCAGCACTAAGAGAAAGTAGAGCTTCTCATCGACACACATCATTTACTAACACCTCCATTCCAGATCTACACTCTCCTTCATCTCCTAATCTCCTCTATAACCGAACCAAGCTCAGATAATTTAAGCTGTTTCACTCTGACAAAAGTATAATCTGACTGGGAATCATAAGCTATAGGAAACTATCACAGTATTACAGTGGACCATAAGCTAACAGGATGCTAAAACACAGATATAAATATACAGAAAGCATATATTTAACTTCTGTTTGTGACAGCAGGTGTTTTGTGGACCACTGGCTGCTCCACGCAGATGAAGTACAATCGATTCGTGCAGCTTCCCCACGTTTGAGTCTGTAAAACTCAACTGCTGAGTTAAATTGGCTCTTGAGGTCCCCCTTAATGCTCCCACATCATTTTGCCTTAATTTGTGCTTCTGAAAGAGCTGGTCCATCACTGTTCCAGATAATTAAGCCATTAACTTTTCTCAGAAAAGGTCCCAGTTGCCCCATTTCCTGGTCGTATGGCCTCTCTTCTTGGAAGACACTTGTTTGTGGAGTGCTCCTTTATTCTCAGACTGGGGGGAAGGTTGTGGGTCTATAGAAAATTCCTTGCACACTTTAAATAAAGAGGGAAGTCAAGCATCGCTGGTCTGTCAGCAGCAGCTGTGCTTTGAATAGGGATTGCTCAACAACAAATGTGGAAAAACTACCTGCACAGCTACGTCCAAAGACCAGGAAACATACATGTGATAAATAGTTTTGGGAAATACACAGTTTTCTAGCAGAGAGTCAGATGAGAAGATTGACACCACTCTTGCATCATTTGGCATGAAGCTACTGCCAAGAGATAGCTTAGCTTAGCTTAGCTTAGCACAAAGACAGTGGGGGAAGTAGCGAGCTAGCTCTCTGGTAACAACCAGGACATGTTAAGTGGCAACTTTAAAGATGAAGAAAGGAGGATTTTTAAATTTCATTGTACCTTTGGACTGAGATTAGCTTGCTATTCCCCCCTGCTTCCAGTATTTATGCTAAGCTAACATAGCGCTAGCTTCATATTTAGTGTAGTTTTCATTTCATCATCTAATCTTAGCAACTGTCAACAGTTTCTTCTTCGACAGCTAACTACCACGCGGCCAAAAAAAAGTCTGACATTGTTTTTCTAATCGTTATTAGTCAAAACTAATCTTTATTTCAAATATAACAACAATAATCTCTTTAACGTGTAGATTCGTAGCCAGCTGACATGTAGCACCACCGTATTCTTTCTGTACGACTTTCCACTGCAGGAACTTGGGATAGATGGATGGATGGATGGATGGATGGATGGATAGATGATAGATGGATAGATGGATAGATGGATGGATGGATGGATGGATGGATGGATAGATAGATAGATAGATAGATAGATAGATAGATGGATAGATGGATAGATAGATAGATAGATAGATAGATAGATAGATAGATAGATACGTTATTCATTCCCTTGAGAAAATTTAAGGTGCAAACATTTCCAGAACCAGCCCTGGAATTAGGCCTTTCAGCGTTTTTGTTTCTATTGAAGAAGCTGAAAACCAGAAAATGAGTGGACAAAACATCAGTTCTATGAGCACATAGGAAATAAAACACCAGGAAGTATGTTATGCTAGCCTGTATATTGAATTTTAAGTTGTTTATGGGGATGTTAGAGAGGACAAGTCTGGATGAGAACATCGACAGTTCAGAATAAATGGTGGTCATCCTTGAGTTTAACCAACCAACGTCGTCCTCTACAAGTTGAACCTATGAGCATCGAGCCCTTTGCAGAAATATGAGGTTCTCAGTCAGAACCCTAAACTGTCCCGCAAGTTCTTGCAGTGGAAAACAGCTCATTGGCTTTCAACTCTTTTTTTTTTCTTCTAACATCTCAATCATCCCACGTTGGCTTTGGGAATCTGAGAGGTCTTGATGTGTCTCTGATCCGACCCCAACCTTCCCCCCCGTCCCCCTTGTCTTGTTCTCTTCTTCTTCTCCTCCTCCTTCTTCTTCTTCTGACTGTCTTCTTCTCTCCTCTAATTCAGGGCAGAGTTGTTGAGTGAAACTAGTTTCCCTGACTGATCAGCCCCCGCCTTTTTATCGAGGACTGTCCGACTGTCCATCCTCTTGTCTCCCCTCCTTCTGTTTCCCCTCTATGACCCCCAAATTCGACCCACTTTTCTCAGTACTACATCTGCACCTTATCAGTTTTATTGGGAACCAAGATGTACTGACTTCTCCTGTTCTGGCCCAACCTTCTGAGCCTTTTCTGTAAATATGGACTCATACAGGATACGTGATCAGACGTTTTCTTCGTTACACCTCCCACGCGCCCCTTTCAGTTCCCGTTATTGGCCCAAAGTTAACAATGAGTCGAAGCCTCGTGGTTTGTGTTGATTTATGATTTCACTGATATCCTATGACCTCTGGGTGTTGTTGTAAATGTGTCTTTTGGGTTTAATTTTGTTCGCTGTGACTGTACTTTGACTGAAACGTGTCTTTTTTTTCCCTTTTGAATTGCAGACCAAATGTTAAAAGTACCCCACCAGAGAAAAGGGAGCAGTACTTGTAGTTTGGGAGAGTCTTCTGGCCTTACCGTGGTTTAGAGTCTGTCAGCAGACAAAACCCTCTCACTGGGGAATTCAAAACAGACAAGAAAGAATTTATAACCTTCCAAGCATACTGCCACGACGTAAATTAGAGTCTTTGTTTGAGTTAAAGAAATTGTTTGGGGGGAGGTTTTTATGAATTTGTTGTTGTAGGGGGATCAAAAAAAAGAAGATATCTCTCTCTTGTCTGTGTTGTTGACTTTGGGAGAGACAGTCATTCAGGGTATGTTTTCTATAACATGTTAAAATGCCCGGGTGTATATACCACCTACTCTATTCTTTCTTTCTTTTTTTTTTTTTACTACATATATAATGTTTTACTACAGTGCCTTATAACACATGTTTGTGCACATGTATGTTGTCGACTACATGGATTCTTTATAGTCTCCCATCCCGTCTGAGGAGATCCTCTGCCAGCAGTTCTGTATGCCTGTTTTTTTTTCTTTCTTTCTTCTATTGTTGGATTTCCGAAAAATGAATGTGAAGCTACTCCGCAGTGCCACTTATAAAACAACAAATGATAGATCTACAGAATAATGTCTGACGCCACGGCTGGTAAGAAGCCTGTATTTTCCACGTAACCTGGATTGAGGATATACCAAGTACATTAATTTTTGTTTCGTTTAAGTGCCGATATGATTTTGTGTGAATGACGGAGTCGCTGTATTATTGACTCTAAAGGATGTACTGTAGCGTGTGCTGTCTCCTGTACTAAGGAATGCCAGTTTGCTGAGTGTTCAAATGCCCCTCTGATGCCTGCATTTATTTACCATTTGCCATTCCTTGTCTCTAATATTTACCTCCTCCATGTTGTGTATCATCTCATTTACAGTATACCCCTGTCTGTTTCTTTTAGAATGAAGTAAACAGAGACATAAAAAAAAAACCCGACTTGGCTGTGAGTCAGTGCTTTATCAGTTGTTTCCTAACTTTTCACCCCGGCCAGACTTTCCGCCCACTCCTTCCTACTTTCCAGCCCAAATCCTTCTTTTGCACCCTGTTGTTCAATAATTGCAGATGTGGAATTCCACTTCTGCTCCACTGGACTGTGGCACATTCTCAGAGGTGGATTCACTAAAAAGTTAACTTGCTCACCGCCGCTGCAGCCGACACACACAAGGCTGGAATTTTCTTGTTTTTCTGTGGAGTTTGAAACCAAGAAGGCTTTGCTTCTTAAACTGTAAACTTGACCACAGCCCATTTTTGAAACATTCAGATTTTACCAAAGACTCTCTAACTGCTTTCCCCATCGGCCTATATGAACATCATTCACTGTAATTGTTCCTCCTGTTTACCCCGACTGTCAAGATTTATCTCAAAGACGGCTTATAAACTCAGCAGCTTCGACGTTTAGTCAAAGCTCACGTTAGCTGAAGTTTTTCCACCAAATCGTAGGTCAAGAATGTTAAGTTCTGCTGAACACATTCAAATGATAAACATAAAAGATGCAAAGACAATAAACAAATGTGCATCGCTTGAATTATTCAATATCAACGCAGAGCCTCCAGCAGAGCGTAGCAGCCGGGCTCCTACACAAAAGCATTCTTTCATTAAGATTCAAAGCTGCAGCGTGATACGCTGACCGCGAGTTAAAATAAAGCAGTTTGAGGAAAACGCACACTGAAGATAGCAGCGGTGAGAGCGGAGCATGGACGAGAAATCTCACATGGGCCCGACATTTACGGATGCCCCTACGAGACCTGTGACTATACAGTGTGCAGCATTCACGCCACTTAATACCATCCTGCAAAGAAAAACACATTTTTCACCGGGACATTTGTTGCATCTGTTTGCACAGACGCAACAAGTGATTTATGGCGCGTTTGTAGAACTCAAAATAAACACAGTCACTATGGGCATTTTGTGTCTTTCCGCTAAACTCGCTGCAAGATTTATCACCTGCTTCTTATTACAGATAAATCTTTAGCGATCTATTAATTCATTTACTGTAAGGGGGGGGGTGTTGATACGACGAGCGTTTAGACAATGAACCCGATGAACCGAGGCTCGCAGCAGAAACCAAATAATTATAGTAAACGCAGGAATGTGTTTTCCCACTTTTAATACTGAACGCTGAGTGATGGATGAGGTCTCACACATGCGTTTGATTGGGACTTGCACATTGTGGTGAGTCGGGAATGTGAAAATGGAAACTATCTCCTTTATTGCTGCACTGTAAACATCATTACAACAATAAAACATGTTTTCAAAGCGAGCTCGGCCATTCACACTGAGGAAGAGGATGAGGGAAGATATCGACGCTCCAACAGTAGCTGTGACTTCAATAACAATTCCAGTGGCTGCATAGACACCAAAAAAATGAAGCTTATGTATTGATAGGACACTGATATATATATAGATAGATAGATATATGTTGTTGATGATAGAGACGTTGTCTAGCTTGAAATATAAGTCTTGTTCTTCTAGATGTCACACTGTTGGATCAGACCAAAGGTTATTCCAGGCGTCCGAAAAGCCACCTGTCAGGAAAATATGCAGCAATAATGACTTAAGGACGGTATTCTTTAGTCTTAAAGGTGTGAAAATATGTGATCTTTCGTCCTTAGCTTCATCACAAATTGTGCAAAGAAAAACGGATGCTGGTGCTTCAAAAGAACAATCCTGCCTTGATTCGGGCTTTCTTAAAAAACACCATTAAACCCGGCGCTACAGACGGGTATCCTCTCCCTCTCCGAGACCTTCTCTGTGAATTCCACCGCCTGCTAGCTGAGCGTCTGGATCGCAGCTCTTTCAAGTTATTTTAGCTTGACTTGGCAGGTTTGTCTGTGAGCTTCGCTTTGTGTCTGCCGGCAAAACACACCGTGTGACTGACACGGCGGTCTCAGGAGCTGAGGACTGGATTAACACCTCAGAACGCTCCCATTATGAGCTCTACTCCAAGAGATTCTTTTTACAGTTTGAACAAGTCTTATCATTCCTTAAACATGCATTTATCTACATTTTTTTGGACACTTTGCTCACAGCTTATCAGCCTGTAAACATAATAAAGCGTTCGTTTTGTTGGTATAAAGATGCTCTGCCCTCCACCTCTTTCAGTTATCTGTTTGACGACACCAGCTTTGGGGAAAAATGTCTAAATCAGACTCAGAATCAGCTTCGTTGACCACGAGACCATAAAAAAAAACACATGTGCATTTAAACAACGACAACAAGTTGTGGAAGGAAATGACCGTTAAGCTATTATGTGCAATTATGTATGTGTGTAAAAGAGCTCGTTTACAGTGAAATTAAATAACTTTTAGTGCAAAATTACAGTTTTGCAAGCAGTTATTAACAATACAGCTTTACTGAGTCTTTATATACATGAGGCAGGGGGATAAAAGTGTAAATGTTACACCAAAAACTAGTTACTGGCTTGATGTTTGTGTCATTTGCTGCTGATTTGGTCGTCGGCGGTGAACTTATCATTGAAAACATTTGACCCAACACAGTATGATGTGATGAAATGCAACACAGTGCAATACAGCATGTTGTTATGTGATATATAACAAAGGAAACTGTCAGAAACATGTATGATCACATGTTATATTCTGCATATAAAATCCCACACGTGCCTCCTGTGAAAACATGAGAACCACACAGCTACAGGCGCTGATGAAGTCAAAAAGATGCTCTGAAAGCTATGAAGTCTATAAGCTAGCTTGTTTATTGACACATACTGTATGAAAAAGTCTTTAAATAAATGGTTTAATAGCGATAAATAAAACTGCATCGCTGCAAACAACCAATTCTGTTACACTTAGAAATGTGCACGATGAATATACGTCAAATAAATCTTCGCTTATCGACAGACAGAACAGAAAATATGAATGTTTTAAAAGAATGGATGATATTCTGTGCTTCTGTTGCAACAGTATAAGCAGTAATATTCTGAAGAGGCTATTTGTTGTAATTAGAAACAATAGACACCAGTTTGGTCGTGGTTGCGAGCCGACACCTGGGAGACGCACAAACACAACCCACAGAGAGGAGTCAGAAGTTCATCCTTACAGCTGCTGCTGGCGCAAAAGTGTGAAAAACAAACTTAATATGTGGAAATGTGTTTGAACCAGAGAATGATATGAATCTGAAGTAGCTCTCCGCTGTGCAGGAACCACAAACCGTAAAGAACTGCTTCTAACTGGATCTGATTAAAGCTGTTTGTGAGAGAGAGAGACGAGCTGCAGTGGCCACCTCCACACAGACAGAGGGCGCCAGAGACTGACCCAGCAAGGCAGGGATCAGGAGAGGGTACTTCAGACCAGGTATCATGAGCAGGATTGAGGCCACAGTCATTGCTACAAAACCTAAAACTGACATTTTATAAAGAGTATAACAACACATGCTGTATATGTCTTTAATATGGAGCTACAGCTTGATCATAGTTGTCTTTATGCATCACAAGTTTATCTGTGCTGCTCTTTGTATCGTCACAGTGCGTCACGATCCTTCCTCTGTTCCTCTGATAAAAGCCTGTGGGGTGCAGATTGTCCAGGCAATGACTGATTAAGTTATTGGAAACAGTAAAGATGTTTTCTTTTAGCATTAGACAATGATTTTGGGGCTGCACGGTGGAGCAGTGGTTAGCACCGTCGCCTCACGTCTAGAAGGTTCACGCCCCGGTGAGGACACCCGGGATCTTCATGTGTGGAGTCTCCATGTTCTCCCCGTGCAGCGTGGGTTCTCTCCGGGTTCTCCGGCTTCCTCCCACAGTCCAGAAACATGTTGAGGTTAATTGGTGATTGTAAATTGTCCGTAGGTGTGAATGTGAGTGTGCTTGGTTGTCTGTCTCTAAGTGTAGCCCTGTGATAGACTGGTTACCTGTCCAGGTGAACCTGCCTTCACCCTGAGTCAGCTGGGATAGACTCCAGCCCCCCATGACCCTAGTGAGGATTAAGTGGTGTGTAGATAAAGGATGGATGGACAATGATATTGGCAGGGCGATGAAACATCATCAGGTCTTCTATGTAGGACACCAACACATCACAAATCCCCAAAGGCCTCGACAAAGTTCAACCCACCGAGGTCAGCTGATCTTTACCTTTTTTGAATTTTTTTTTTAAATAATGAGCATCTCCAAACCTCTGATTTGATGTGAAAGCTTGTCTGGCTTGTGGTAAACGCACACTAAAGTTCAGAGTTAGTCGGTAGCGCAGCCTAGCGGCTCCTCTTTCTACATACCAGGACTCATCCGTGGTTGCAGATCTGCATGTTTCTAGCCTCCAACAGTCCTTTCCAGCAGCAGCAGGCTTGTCACAGCTATCGGCAGCCCCAGAACCTCCTTCTGTCCTCTGCTCATCTTGTCCTCTAGTCAGCTGGTGGTGGAGGAAAAAAAATATAATAACTTCCATCATCAAAATATGAAGAGTGACTTTGCAAAACACAGAACAAGTGCAGCTGATTTCCAGAGTGTTGGAGGGAAGCACTCGAACCCTCAGATGGAGTAAACGGTGACACCTCGTCAGGATGAGAAGAAGTGCTCAGATCCAAGGAGCAACACTGCAGCGTATCACAAAAGAAGCTGCTCATTTAAAACTTAAATACCTCAAATACACACTTACATGGTGGATTTTTAAACACTTGAAGACGTATCATGAGTGAAATAAGCAGCAACTTGTCGCCGTGTAGCGCAGAGTTTGTAAGGTAGAGTCACATCGAAGCCATTTTCAGGCATGAAGGGATTATTTTCATTCAGGAAAACATCTGAATGTGTAACTTTAATGCACCAATACTAGATTTTAGAGGTTAAATCAGCGACTATAAAAGGGACGTTCACAGTTTCCATTTAGCTACGCTGAGACGTCACGTCCTCTGTTTTATATTCCACACATGGTGAGTATTTTTTTTATAATTGATTCTTACACCAACGAAAGAATAACAAAATAA